CCAAGACCCATTATCTAGAGGGCACTGGTAGCTTTTTCTTCCTCGATAGCGCCAAACCTGGAATACTATACCTCCTTGCGCCGAGACATGCCCTCTTTGATACCAACAAAGAAGAGAACAAGCCTTACCAGTTCCGCGAAACTAGTGGCGAGGCCCGTAAGAAAGTCATGTTCATGGGCGAGGCCGCCTTTCATGCTCGTTGCGATGCTGTAAAGTCTGAAATCGCTACCGTACAGATTCTCATCGACCATTATGAGAAGCGGTTGAAGGCCGCTGATGCATGGGAGGATCACAAGGCGGCTGAGGCGGAGCGGAAGGTGGTCTAGCCCAAGATGAAGGATGCTTCAGCGTCAATTGCGGCCCTTAACAAGTTGCTCTCAGATGTGGTCAGGGATTGGACGAATGAAGAGAATCGAATCATCGGCCACGTTACCCTATCTCCCCCCATCAGTTCGGACTGTGGTGACGATGGTTTCACTGAGGACTGGGCAGTTGTCGAGATCTACCCCAGCATGATTAGCAAACTCAATTTCGTTGGTAACGCCATTGATCTTGGTTCCGTTGCGGTCGACAAGCTGACGAGATGGATGTCCGCCCACCCAAGCTCCTTTGAATATCCTACAGATCGTCTCCTTCGATTCTCTGGGACTGCCTCAGACCGCGAGATGTTCAAGTCTGACCCAGAGACCAAGGATCACGGTGGCGACCCTGTCCTTATGGTTATGAAGAACGGAAACACCGAGTCCGATCTCACCGTCGGCCGCCTCAACACCATCCGCGCTTTTGTTCGCGAGTACTCCAACGGCAAGCCCGGTCAGATGACGAAAGAGATGGCCATCCTCCCTCGCAGTTCAAAATCTGGCTCGTTCTCTGCCTCTGGGGATTCTGGCGCTGTCGCCGTAGATGGAACGGGAAGAGTTTGTGGTACGATTATCGGCGGAGACGGATCTAGTGATGTTTCTGACTGCACTTTTGTTACCTCTATCGACTTTCTCATCAAACGCTTGGCCGCGTTCGATATCGAGGCTAACATCTTTCCTCATCTTTAAATGCTGCCCCTTCTACATCGTGTTTGTCTCTTCTTACCATCTACTCTTCCTTGTTTCTCTCTCCTTTCTATTGAATTATGGACTTGTCATAAGTTAGACTAGATTAGTAGATAAATCATAATAGTTTCTTTGTACGGCGCCTGTGCTCATACTTGGTCAAGGCATGATGTTCAATCACTGTGATATCCTCTCTTCAGCTTGAATCTTTACAGGTCCTGGTCACCATAAGCCTGTAAGCTTAGAGCTGGATCCAACCAGAAGACGTGCTTCAACTTTGACTAGAATCGGTATTTCTTGATTTCGCTGTATCTTGCGATCGGGGTTCTTGAGTTAGTTGTTCAGCAGCATATCCATTTTTCGATGTATACCCCCTCATAGCCTGAAGGAGTAGGCATACGAAGTGATTACTTTAAATGAGCATAGCATAATACATTGGCCTTTATGCAACCTTTTTCTTCCTATTCACTAACGATCCACTTTACATTGCCCTCCGACTGGACTACAAGTCCGTTCACAGTAGATTCAAATAATCTATTCGTGGTCGGAATCGCACTATGTATATCGACCGTGAGGCTAGTAATAAGTATCCGCATACTTGGCGAAAAGAGTTGAAGATTTGCGAAATACGCAAGGCTCAGACATAATGAAGGCTTGCACTTTGTTGTATTTTTACTGTATCTTATAACTAGGATCTACGGTGGCAGTAGTACACAGGACTTTGCTTTTAGTAGTTAAGTACCAAGTCTACTAGTGGCGCCTATTACAACTTAGTAGCGCCCATTCCCAAAATGGTAATCAAGTGTTCGCCGTGAACTGTCTACAATCAAAATGGTTTCCATCAGTACCGCTTTCGAACACTACACTATTGTCCCCTTCGGGGTGACATACGAAAAAATTGGAACGATACAGAGAAGATTAGCATGGCCCCTGCACAAGGATGACACGCTTTCCCGGAGTGGTAGATCTACGGATCTCAATATTTATTTTCTTTTATTATTTTATTTTGCTTTCGTCCTGAGTAGAAGTCTATACACAAGGAAAAATAAACACTTGCCACACGCCGCTCCCCTTCGTGCCAGCGATTTCTATTTTATCTTATCTTCCGGACTTCTACTCAGGACGAAAGCAAAATAAATATTGAGATACGTAGATCTACCACTCCGGGAAAGCGTATCATCCTTGTGCAGGGGCCACTGCGCTTCCTGAATTCACGGTTGGTTCAAGGCATGGTTTTCCAAGGTGGTGTCAGTGGTGGTGGCGGTGTACCCGACACAGGAACAGCCAACAATCTCGCTCTTACCGCACTCAGTTTCAAGTGCGCTTCGAAATCACTCGGGGTTCGCCTTCGGCTCACCCCTCGTTCTCGTTCTCGCTCAACACTTTTAAAAAATTATCACTGGTTCTGGATATAATGTCCCACTTCCACAAAGTGAGCTGGATAGGACCCTAGCCACATTACATTGCTTATTACGGTTTCGCACGATCAGATACAGGAAGGACACCCAGATCATTGTCTCCTGTAGGCAGACTCAACCTCGCCAGATCATCCCACGTCAAAGGTTGCAGAGTAATATTCTTACCGCTTTCGCGGTCTACTTTACAAGGACATGCGTGTAGAGTATGACAACTCGGAACGCCCTGGGTCATCACCGTCCTCAGCATCCAGTGTCTACGTTAGCTGTCTCGACTCCGGCGGCCAACATTACCTATACTTAGTGTATGTTATTCAATAAGTATGCCACCAAGCTGCGTGTTAATATCAACCCAAACTTACTTGGCTCGAACGAGACGGGTTAACATGCATATGAAGGAGTGAAGAAAAGGTGGCCTTGAGTGTTGCAGAAAGGAATTTATTGAAGTGAAGTATTTGTATTTGAACTGTACTGGAGAATACATGTGCAGCTTGCCGCGATACTGACTTTAATGTTGATAGCGTTATACACCATTGACCTGGGGAAATACTGGGCGTTGATGAACACTCAAGCTATTTACTTCGCTCTGGAAGAATCTGCTCTCCTTTGACTATGCGAAAGCTTTTTGCGTTATCGCTGCTTCAAGTTGAAAAGACGATTGTGTCGAATTTTTGAAGGAACGGTTGATAAATACGGCGCTGACTCGTACCCGACCGCCAAATCTGAACGTTAGTCTCTTCCAGCGCCCTCTGTCTCCTAGATTTGTTCTTGATCAAAGATTTGGCTGTTCGTAACTTGAAAGCTTCAAATTTTCGCCGGGCCAAGTCATTGCTGTACATGTCCTTCTGTGTCCTAGTGCTGTCGCGCTCGCAGACGTCCTGGCAGTGAAGATTAGAGGGTGGAAGCAACGATCACACGTCAATCAGACTCGAGACTTACAAGTTACCAGCTGCAACAATCTTAATCAGCGCTGAATGTTAAACCCATTGACTCCTGTTAATCAACAGTATGTATATAAACCTTGCACCGTTACTGATGTTCTGTTTCTTCCCTGCCGCAATCGCCAGGAGCTTTCTTCGTCTTTCTTTTTCGTTCGAGCACTGTGTGCGCTTTCCTTATTTCATTTCTTCGTTCTGCTTTAGCCTTTTATTTCTAAACTCTCTATTCTTTTCACGAGAGCATAATGCGCGGCGCGTTCAGGAACATCTTGATCTGTTTCTTATTCTCGAGTCTAGCGGCGGCTCAGACTATCAATTGTCCTGCAACGGACCAAACTGGCTCGCCAGTAGAGGGACCAGGAGTTAATGCAGGGCAAGGTTTCGTCACCTGGTAGATATCTTTTAATCACTTGCTCTTCGCATCATCTCAAGATATTCCTTCCAAAGTACTTACAAAGTTGCTGGTGCATGTACTTATTTTGCGGAGGTGAGTTTCAACTGCGAGACGCTGTTGAAATCATTCTCATCGTCATTTACATAGAGCGGGGAGTCTGACTCTGGAGCCAGTACTTGCCCCAAATTCCCCCCTTCCGGTACGACAGGGAGCGCTACCACCAGTAAAGCTCCTCCTCCCCCTCCTGCTCAAATAGCAACTTCCAAGCCTCCTCCTCCACCCCCTACAACGATCGCCAAACCTCCTCCTCCTCCTCAGACTACAATCAGTAAACCTCCCCCCCCCTCCGGTCATCAGTAAACCTCCCCCTCCACCAGTCATCAGTAAACCTCCCCCTCCACCAGTCATTAGTAAACCTGCTGTTGTCACCAATCAACCCCCCCTTGTCACTAATAAACCTCCTCCTCCTCCTGTCATCAGTAAACCTCCTCTCCCTGTCATCAGCAATTCTCCTCCTATCATCAATAACTCACCTCTTATCACGATCAAACCTCCTTCTCCTATCATCAGTAACTCTCCTCCTCTTCAGACTACCATCAATAAACCTCCTCCTGTCGTCAGCAACCCGCTTCCTCCTTCACCTTCTACTCCAGTTGTTCTTAGTACCATATCGGTGCTTACTTCGGCACAGACCACCCCTTCTTCTTCTTCAGTCCAACAATCGCCATCCACTGTTTTTGCATCTGCGATTCCATCTACGTCGTCTGCCAGTGCATCGTCAGCGGCCACTAGTTCCTCATCAGGCTTCGTCACCCTTCCCTCCTCCGCAATCACTACAGTGACGAGTACCTCGGTACCCAATGCCGGTGCGACTGGTAATCCCGCCTCAGATGCTAGTAACAACAGTAATGCAGCTGCATCTGTCTTTTATCAAGGATCAGGATCGCTTTCTCTGCTCTTGGCTGTCGCCGTAGCGGTGAACTTTGTATGAAGATCCTGAGTCAATTTTGGGGCTGCGCTGAGTCGGCTAAGTATAGAGGTGTATGATTTGGTTTCTGGACTATCTTCAATGTATGTACATCATCAGTTGAAGGGCTTTTGCCTTGAGCTACGTTATTGTCGATAAATACCGTATTCCATATTGGCTGTTTATTGTGTGACTCAATACCAGGAGCGCTCGAAAAAATGAACGCTCAACACGAACTTATGATTCGACCCGGGCTCGAACCGGGGACCTTCTGTGCCCACATTATTTGATTGCGTATCAATGTTAGACAGATGCGATAACCAACTACGCCATCGAACCATGCATACAAGGAACAGTATTCTGTCCATATCGGTTTTTGCATCCATTTTGGAAAATGGGTGTATTATCATTATCCGAAACGCGCATCGTGTTTCCCAACGCTCTCAGCTAGTACCCATGCACAAGAATTTTCACCTTCTTTCTCCCCAACATGGCCAGAGGTCATAATCAAACACCACGAATCTTCCACCTCTCTCGTCGGATCTCGCAGCGGTGGTATAACATTCATCGCTCCTTGTTGCACTTTGGGAGATATATAAGACACCGGCGACCAGATGCAGGCATGACTAGTGAGGCTTATAAAGTCCAGACAGTCCGTCGGAGGAGATTGAGAGAGCTGGTGCCTGGAAAATGCAACAGAGGCAACTATCAAGGTGAAAGAAGATGGAGTAAAGATCAAGGAGACGGCGTACGTTATTGTCCCGATTAACGATTGCACGAATGAAGGTCCAATAAAACCACTCCATCTCATATGGGTGACATTGCCAACGCGAGATGGGGACGGAGGGTCGTATACTGCTACAAAGGGATCAACTCGATCGTTGGCTTTTAATCTGCGGCGGACACGGAGAATCAGTTTGTATTTCTACTCGTCGGATAGAACTGGAAATGTACCTTGTCGCACCGAAACCAGCCATTCCGACCCACTCGAACAGTTCTTCTATCGTTTCATACCAGTCTTCAACCTCCTCTTTCGCTGAGGCATCTTTCCCTTGGGGCCGTAAAGTCAACTGCACAATGGGTATATGTATATCCGTGGATACGTTGTTTTGACATTGGACTTGAATAGTTTCGAAATATATCTTGTCTCGATCCGTAGCGAGGTTTCTGAGAGTGGTTTCGAGATCTTCGGGAGTCAAAGGGTTATGGTAAGAAAGGCAGCATGGACGTGTACCATACCTTCGGCAGACAAAGATTCTGAAAAAGCAAGTACGTTCCATAACGGAGATCCAACCTCTCGTGTTCTTCGTTCCTCCCATCTCTTGAACGCAGCCTCTCGCTGTGCCCGAACTTTGGTTGACTCAGCTTCTTTTGTGTACAGAGGGATCGATATTACTGTACTGAACATGGTGATTAGTTCCCAACCCAGCATACTTACGACCGAAAAGAACGAATACGAAAGAAAACGCACCATGCCGTCCATCACCCTGTTTCGCCTTTCCTTTCCCAAATGCCACACGTTTGCCTGCTAAACCGAGCGCGTCATACGTGTCTTTGCATACTGAAAGCGTCAAAACGCCTCGGTGGTCGATACACCATACATCTTCTTCCTGCGTGGAGAACTTCGGACCTGAGCCGGCACTCAAGAATGAGATACCACTGAATAGAACATCGGAACGAATCAAAAGAAGAAAAAAAAGACCATTGAACTTGAAACAAACCTCTGAGTGGCATATTTTTGAATGAAACTTGCGTTATCTGCGACGATTTTAGACAGGGAAAGTTGTAGTTTCACGTATTGCGGAGCCTTCAAAGATGTTTCGAGAGCATTTTGGAAAACTGTGTTGGATGGAAAGATGAGGTCAAGCTGTTTGGAGGTAAGTTGAGCGTTGGAGAAAGCACAAGGAGAATTTCACGTTCTTGTTGAGTAAAAGGATGACTGCGAGCTAGGTTTTTTATTTTCGTGTCTTCAAAGCTGAGTCCAGCAGATATTTCAACGCGACAATGATCGAAGCTCATCGCGGTCGAGTTAGAAAAGAGAAGACGACTAATCTGACGCCCGTGAGTGTTCTTCAAACATTTATTAGCTCCAAGTATTTTATTTCAATCCCAAAGCTACAAATACAAAACGTGGTATAAAATGTCTAAGTAGATATGTATACGATATCCTATTATACGATGGGAGCCTGAACATACTTTCGCCTGAACTTGCCGTCAACACTGTCAAGATAATATGCTCCAGGCCATATGTTGTCGATGGAGCCCTCGGGAACGTATTCTTTTGCATTGTGGTTCTTCTCACGGAGCTAGAAGGTACAATGTTAACTCCTCATACAACGGCAAGCAAGTAAGAGACTCACATTCAAAGCATCAACAAATTCTTGGCAGGGTACAACCTTCATGGCAGCCAGTCTGCTCGTCAAGTCCATCTTCTCCCGTATCTCTGTTGTGTCACCTTTCACCTTGATGGTGAAGAAAGAAGCGGCGCAACCAGAGCCGAAGGAGTAGAGGGAGATGCGCTTGCCTTTGAACGAAGCAGGCTCGACGGTATCGATAAGCGAAGCCAGGCAGCCGTATAAACTGGCAGTGTACATGTTTCCAAGACGCTTGGAGCAAGCCATACCAGGCTCAACCTGATCCTTGAAAGATGATTTGCCGAGCGTGATGAAGGCCTTTTCAAGGTTTTTATCGGAAAGAGAGGCTTTTTGGGATAGTGTGCGGAATGTCTCAGCGTCAGAGACATTGGCGAATTTTGGAGAATCGGGGGAGGCGAGGAAGTCGTTGTAAAGCATACGTGCATGGCCCTTCACGGCCTGCTTGCCATAGGGACTGTGGAAGATGGCATAGTCGACAGAGTCGATGGAGAAGACAGACTTGGCATCGCCATTGGCGTGTCCGTTAAGACCTGCACGCTTGGCAAATCTTGCGATTTTCTCGCGGTAAGTGTTGTAGGCGAAATCGAGAGCGGAAGTGTATGTGACGACGGAAACGGGGCCATCAACTTCAGGGTATTCAGATGACAAGTTGGGCTTGTAGAAATCGTATGTGTTGGACATGTGGGTTCCATGGACAGCTGTGGGTGAAATGAGCGACAACACGAGTATAAGTACATAATGAACCTACGTTCAAAGGCAAGAGGAGCATTGGGGCCGATGAGCATAGCAACGGCTCCTGCACCACCAGCGGGGCGAGCAGGACCTGAAGCGTACACTGCAATGTCACCAGCAACAACGATCGCGTTCCTGCCATCCCAAGATGTTGACTCTATCCAGTTTATAGCGTTGAAGAGAGCCGCTGTGCCGCCGTAGCAAGCATTTTTGGAGTCAATACCCTCGATGTCGCTGTTGCCAGACTGGGTAAACAGGTCCATAAGATGTGTCTTGACCGATTTCGACTTGTCGATGATGGTCTCAGTACCAACATCAATACGACCGATGGATTTAGGGTCGATATTGTATTTTTTGAGGAGACCAGAGACGGCTAAGACAATAGTTTCGTTGGCATGACCGACATACAAAAAAAAAAAACACGCTACACACCATTCAACGCGAAAGAGTTGATGTCTTCGCGGTCATCAGGCCAGGCCATGTATTCCTGACCCAGACCAATGGTGTATTTTCCTTTTGATACACCGTCGTATTCTTCAAGGTCGGATTCCGAGATGCACTATTGGACAATAAGAAACTGGCCACGCGATTCGATGGAAAACATACACGAAGGGGGAAGTAAACTTCCATACCAAGGATTCCTACATCCTTGGGGCGAGGGATTTCGATATCAGCAGAGGAAACAACGAAAGTCATGGTGGTGGAGATGTTGATGGAGGTGGTAGTGAGGGAATTATTGAAAACTAACTATGATTTTATAGTAGCCAGATAAAACAGAGTAAAAATATGGTACGATGATTTAGGTTATCGGCGTCTAATCTTTTTTTGTGCCTCTCTCCACTCCGAATCCCACGGCCCGCATCGTCGCGATGATGGCGGGCACTATGAACGCAACTTGGCACGCTATGCACTTTCTTTCTAGCCACTAGACCGGTTTTTTATTTCCTCTTGTTAGAAAATGGTCTTTAGCCCTCTACCACGCATCTCGCGCGTGTTTGATTTGGACATAATAGTTCTTTTCTACCCTGTCTTACTCTTGTCTAACCGACAATACTTCATATAACCATTTACTCCTTGTAGTACGCGTCTTGTGTTAACTCTTGTGTAGCAGAATCAGTTCCAATCTTTTGTCAAGCAATGCCGAGGCAATCACTAGCGAACAGCGAACTTTCGGGGGTAAATCTCGGTACTATAGATGGCTATAGTACTGTCACGAGTAGAGAGCTGTGAAGAACAACAAAAGAAGTATCCTACATCGCATCATATGTTCGCAATTCCATTAACTTGCAGATTCTTCTTCGACCAATGTTCATTCCCAGCGATAAAGTCCGCTCTGACAACCTTTCCCCTCTTTACCACCCTTCCCCCACTTTCCCATTTCACATAAACACCTTCCACTCGTCCATCGTAAAACATCGATAAGGATTGAACCATATCCTTCAGCTTATCTTCTGTCGGCATCTCACCTCGATAGATAACCGGTACTGTTCCGATAGTAGTTTGTCCCAACAGCCCCTCTAGCGTCCGTCGATCAAGGAACGCATCTAGACTCCGGTCGTACAAATCGAACGCCATAAAACGATCCGGTAAATGCGTGTAGGGAATCGAATGTGTGGCGTACAGCCATTCTCCAAACAAAATGTATCGTTCCGGGAAGTATTTATCCCGGTCTAAAAGTTGATATAGTTCATTGCGGTGGACATCTAACCAATGAGCGAGCTTCTTAAACTGTTCGTGGCTAGAAGAGCTCACGTAGTGCGAGCGATTCTGAACTACGATCTGTGACCGGTCAGCGGATAATGAGAAACCCATATTCGCACCGTCGACCTTTTCAGTGATGATAACTTGGCCAGAGTATGTCGATAGCGTGGAAGAAGAAGGTAGAATGATATCATCCGATGTAGCGGCTCCCAGGTCCAGTAAATGCGCGGTCCTAGGAAACTTGTGTATCCCAATCTTTGGAGAGAGCATTGCAACGAATTCCTTCGCAGCTTCAAACGATCGAATGATCACAACCGCTTTGAACCCTTCTTTCAACGAAGGCCTCACGAATATCCTCTGCATCTGCTCCACCGCCCTGCGTACGCGATTTCCAGGCGGCAGCGTAGGGTGTCCTACACGCATCTGAGCTCGCGAGACACACAGTTCGCGATCATAGTCAAACCAAACACATACTGGGTTTAAAACCCAGTTCGATGCGAGCTCAAGCCATCGTTTTCGATCTGTATCCGA